CTCCTGGGTTTGAGCGATTCCCCTACCTCAGCCTCCCCAGTTGCTGGGATTACAGGCATGTGCCACCACACCTGCTTATTTTTTGTATTTTAGTAGAGACGGAGTTTCACTGTGTTGTCCAGGATGGTCTCGATCTCCTTACCTTGTGATCCACCCACCTCCGCCTCCCAAAGTGCTGGGATTACAGGTGTGAGCCACCGTGCCCGGCCAAAAATGTTTTAGAATTTAAATTGCAAAATTTTTGTATAACCTCCTTTAAAACCAAAAGCATTTTAACAAGTTAAAAACATGAGTACATATTTTTGTTTCTCTTGTCATGGCTTAATCCAAAAGAGTAAAAAGTCAAACTTCAAATCTTTCTGGTCATTGGTAGCTCAAGGATTCTAGGTCCCATGTCTTAAAAGCAGCATTCCAAAAGTAAGTCAATGTAACACAAGTTCAAATGCAATGTTAATAGCATTGCAAAAGGAAAAAAAAAAAGAATCCCTGGTAAAATATGGGATAAAAAGAAGTGAAGCAGGTTCCTTTACACAGAGTTTTCAATATGTTTGTATGCAATCATTTCCAAAAAGGAAGAAACACGAGGCAGAGTTTGCCAGAATCCTTTTTGGCAGAGAGCTACTGTTGGCTGGAAAGATTCTGAAAAAGTGCCTTCAAGAAACTTCGACTATGTAGACTAAACTTTGACTAAATAGTAATATGTTTCAGCACTTATTTTAAACTTTATCAGACCAAGGTCCAAAACAAAAACTCAAAATAGGGGCTAGGTGCAGTGACTCATGCCTGTAATTCCAGTATTTTGGGAGACCGAGGCGGCAGGATTGCTTAAGACTAGAAGTTTGAGAAGAGCCTGGGTAACATAGCAAGACTCTGCCTCTACCCGCCTGCCCCTCTCCAGGCCACAGGGCGAAAAATAAAATAGGCATGCCAGGGTGGTATTTGACAGTGTCATGGATCCGATCTGCAGCTGAGATCTGGTCTACAGCAGTTTTGAATATAAACACAGTATTTTCCCAATGGAATAAATGAGATACATGAGACTGAATTTATTTAGATTATTTCCCTAGTTTTACACAAAGAATATGGAAAGGGGACCTCTAAAACAATATTATTTGAAAATGTCATGTCTTACGTTTACGAACTTTAAAAAGCAAAAAAAGATACTTCCTAATTTGCCCAGCATTTTTTGTTTAAGTGAAGGGAAAAGTGTATCTTCAGGTATACATACACTCACACGAATCCACTTAAAACTAATATGGCTTATAGCAAAAAACTAAGCCTACAAGTTGAACTACTTTATGAAACACATAAATCAGATGTAGATAATGAAGATGAGTGACCAAACATTTACATAGTAAAAATTCCTACATGGACAAATAGGAGTACTCTGTATAGAGCATCTAGGTAGAAAATAGTAACGCAAAATTATGGAGAAGCCTGGTTCAAAAACGCTTATGTATAATAACATAAAAATCTAGTTCTGAAGCTATTTTCTGAATTTATTACATGGATTTGTATACTTTTTCATTTTCAGTAACTTATTTTCACACAACTGACAATGAGGTAATTGCGTAGAAAGTTGGAACAGAGTGGCAGAAATTGATATAATTGCTGAAGGAAATGAAAAAGAGAAATAACGAACTAAAAGTAGTATAAGAAGTCCCAAGGTTCAAGCTTAGTGTTGAAATGTCAATTTGCAGTGACACCAATACGAGAGCTGTAGAATGCTCTGCAGCAGTACTCAGCACAAAGTAGAGTGCTTGACACAGTTGAATCCTAAAATAAAGTGCTTCTATACAAAGTCCCAATTCAACTTTTAATTAAACATGTTTCTAAATTTTTTACCTAAAGCTGGCAAACAGATGTACTCAAAATCTCCATATTGCCAAATGCCTAACTTTGATTAATGTTAACACATTTGGCACTATTTCTGAAAAATGATCAAGTTTTAGGTTGATTAATCAAAATAATTTCAACTCATTTCAAATCTAAGATACCTTTCTACTGACAGCATATATCAATCTATCTCAATAATGTGAATTAGGTGGCTTCCTTCTGTCCCTTCACAATGTGATAAATATGTGGTAAATAATTATCTGTAAGATATGGTAACAACGACTGACATCTGCCAGAAAATACAGGATCTAAACTCTTTCTGATTCTATATTGAATAAACTATTTTAGACTAGAAATACTTGTACCCATCTTGCAATCCAAAAATATAAAGCTTATCCACTTGCATCACAGGCACACTTAAATTAAACCACTTTAGAACAAACTTTTCCCCAATCTCCTTCAAAAGTCATTTGCAAAAAGCCTTAAAAGGAAGTACAGTTAGAGTGGCATATGTAATTGGCTTTGGCATCTAATATTACATCATTGCTAGAGCCTGGTATTTAACAGATACTAAAACTATTATAGAACTGCTATACTATAAGGAATGTAAAATTCAGAGAATTTGTGATTTAAACAGCATCTATAAACTTGCTGAAGTGATTTTATAAAAATGCACCACTTCCAAATATACCAGAAGAGTTAACTCTAAGTTTTTTTTCCCTTCAATTCCTTTCCAAATAAGTATACAGATTTCAGGAACAATTTAAATCTATAAACATACAGCTATGTCACAATTAAGGTGTAAAAAAAGTCACAACTTTTTACACAAATCTGTAACTCTAATTATTACTGCAAACATGACATATAAATCTTCAAACAGAAATTCTATTTTCCATTTCTTATATGTATATATAGTACTAAATGGAATTATTCACAAGCACTAGAGATTTAACTCAGGTAAATCAGTAGTTATTTCAAAAAATTTAAATTATAATTAGCAAAGACACATTTGCTTCAACATGAAGTTTAAGACTTTAAGAAAAAACCAGAATAAACAAATTTAAGGAGCACTAATAGAAAAATCAGTTATGATCTTTAAATACTTCAAAAGTCATTTTTAAAAGTCTGATCCAAAATCATGTACTGGTTTATTAAATTAAAGAACATCCATATTACAGAATACTAGATAATCATTTAAATATTCTAGAGAGTATTTAATGAAATATGATATGGGAAAATACTCATGATATGTAAGCATGGAAAATTACCTCTATAGTATGATTCCACTTTGGAATAAACATGTATACCTTTTTGGGATTAATAATAATTTCTACTTCCTTGTTCTATTCTATGATCTATATTACTGTTATAATCAGAAATATATTACTTAAAATTACAAATTCATTATGTTCTCTTACCTGAAGGTACTATAGCATCTTGTTCAATAATTCTTGCAGAGGCCAGATCACTGATAATATATTGTAACCTTAAATGTCTGAATACCGACACAAATGGTTTTCCTTGTTCAGTTTCAAGAAAGGCCATACCTTCAAAATCTATAAAAAACCATGTAAGTTAAACAGTCATTCTTTTCAAACCTATTATTCTTAAATGTTTTGATGGACGGGAGATACACACATACACTCACATCTATTAGAATACAAAATAAGGTAGTTTTAAAGTTCTCGAGAATTTTATAAACCTTAGGTTTACAGATAAAAACATACGGAGATTTATTTTAAAATCCCAGGAAATTAACTTTGGTCCTAATGAAACCTCTGGGCTGGGAATTCAGCTGTTTCTGGGCATTTGGCATTTATAGCGCAGCAAGTTGGGAAAGGAAGGCTTGAGAAAGGTACTTAGGGTTACACACTCTCACCAGAATCCCCCTCCCAGGAACCGAACAGGCCAGTGAAACTCTGGAGCCCAAAAGCCTCACTCAAGGGTAAGGTACACAGGACAAAGACTATCTCTTAATTTCTTTTAAGTTACATTTCAGCTACATGTAATGAACACTAGTTAACATATTAATTCTCTATTGAAATACAAAATAAGAAAGACTACGTATGGCTAGCCGTGGTGGCTCACGCCTGTGATCCCAGCATTCTGGGAGGCTGAGGCTGGCAGACTGTTTATGCCCAGGAGTTAAGAGACCAGCCTGGGCAACATAGTGAGATGCTATCTCTATTAAAATAAAATAAAATAAAATAAAACAAAATTAAATAAAAGACAGACATTGTAGCCATAGTTTTGCAACAGTTAGGTAGTATTCAGTTATTATTAAGATAATTCAAAGGCTGGGCACGGTGGCTCACACCTGTAATCCTGGCACTTTGGGAGTCTAAGGTGGAAGGATCACTTGAGTCCAGGATGTCTAAGACCAGTCTGGCCAACATTGTGAGACTCCCATCTCTACAAAAAATAAAAATAAAAAAATTAGCGAGGTGTGGTGGCATGTGTCTGCAGACCAGACCCAGCTCCTCAGGAGGCTGAGATGGAAAGATTGCTTGAGCCCAGGAGTTAGAGCTTGCAGTGAGCTATGATTGTGCCGCTGCACTCCAGCCTGTGTGACAGAGCAAGACCCTGTCTCTAAAATAAATAATAATAATAATAATCATAATCATAATCATAATAATACTGAAAACAGAATAATTCGGCCGGGCGTGGTGGCTCATGCCTGTAATCCCAGCACTTTGGGAGGCCGAGGCGGGTGGATCACGAGGTCAGGAGTTCAAGATCAGCCTGGCCAAGATGGTGAAACCCCATCTCTACTAAAAATACAAAAAAGATTAGCCAGGCGTGGTAGTGGGTGCCTGTAATCCCAGCTACTTGGGAGGCTGAGGCAGAGAACTGCTTAAACCTGGGAGGCAGAGGATGCAGTGAGCTGAGATCATGCCACTGCACTCCAGCCTAGGTGACAGAGTGAAACTTTGTCTCAAAAAAAGAAAAGAAAATAGAATAATTCAAGTTTATGAAGTATATAATTTTTTTTCTTTTAGGGAGAATTTAAGGTTATTCCCAAAAATTACCCTCAGTTACATTCCAGTGTGCTTTCATGAGTCAGAAGGAAGGTTTAGGGTTACTGCTATCAAACAGGTATTTGTGCATGAGCCCTGGTCTATGTTTTCTGTTAAACAACATACACCCAGGAGAGTATGTACATCCAGTCCTGTTGCTATTAAGGATAAGGAGAAAAACAAGACAGTTGCCATTATAGACTATTATGTCTCAAACCATGCTTCATATAGAATACAGGTTTTCTGTAGACCAAAAGGTGTTCACTAAAATATTTTTTTCCTGAAAATTGTAAAAAGACAGCCAAGTTAATGAAAAGAATTTCCACATTATCTCATATATTTTTTGTATTCCCTTGGCACCTGCTTAGAGTCAGCAAAGCAAACAAGAAAGCAGTAAATTCATTAAAAAAATTAATACTTAACTTTGCTTATTTATACAACAGGTGTGTGACGGTGGATTTATATCTCTTGCTTTTAAAAATAACAACATTGGTTCTAGTTCACACGTTGAATTAAATGTGCCAATTTCATGGGGTGTGCTGAGAATACCATTTTGTTTTTACAGGTGTTCTGTCACATGAACAAGACATAAAAATCTAATTCTGGATTGTCTCATAGAAATCTGGTGATTATATCTCACGAAGCCTTTTCGTCAAGGCTGTAGAAGAGACTGGCTCATTTACTTCTGTAAGAATTTATAGAACCAAAAAAAATGTTTTAAAGTTGCTTGCTGGACAACATGTGGCCATACTTATTCCATCAGCCAAATTCAATAGCAATCCTTAAGTATAATTGTGTAGAAAACTTTCTAAATTTCTATTGTTTCTTGTAGTCCTGATCCATATAGATCTGAAAAGTCAAAGAATTAAGATAACTTAAAAGAAATATACAAAAATATATGCCGGGTGTGGTGGCTCACGCCTGTAGTCCTAGCACATTGGGAGGCCGAGGCAGGCAGATCACTCGAGGCCAGAAGTTCAAGACCAGCCTGGCCAACATGGCAAAAACCCATCTCTACTAAAAATACAAAATATTAGCTGGGTGTGGTGGCATGCACCTGTAGTCCCAGCTACTTGAGAGGCTGAGGCAGGAGAATTGCTTGAATCTGGGAGGCGGAGGCTGCAGTGAGCCAAGATCGCACCACTGCACTTCCAACCTGGGTGACAGAGCAAGACTCCACCTCAAAAAAAAAAAAAAAAAAAAAAAAAAAAAAAAAAAAAAAAAGAAAGAAAGAAAGAAAGAAAGAAAGACAGACACCAAAATATAACGAGTGAGGGATCACAAGTGTTTTTTTCTATCCTATTTCCTAAGTAAGCATCTTATTTACAATTTAAAAACTATTGAAAATGACTCTATAAAATCTTCACGGAAAAACAAGAGCATTAGACATACATTTTGGTTTGTGCAATCAATGTCTCCCTGAAAAGTTATGTTGAACTGTAAACTTTCACACCTCAGGGGCTGGGAGGGAGAGCCTCAAGTGGGAAACCAGAAGTGGACCACAGCTTGCTTCTCTAGGTTCTGCCACTTAGGCTACAGGGCAATTTCTCTTTTGATTGATCGCTGTGGTGGATCTATCTGAAGCACAAATGATCATAAGGTTCTATCAACATTTGCCTAACATCTGCTGTTTCTACTGAGTCCCTCTGTCTTTTTAACTTCTTCTCCATCCTTGTCTCTTTCCGGTTTTCTTTTGTCTTTTTTTTTTTTTTTGAGATGGAGTCTCGCTCTGTCACCCAGGCTGGAGTGCAGTGGCTGGATCTCAGCTCACTGCAAGCTCCGCCTTTGGGTTCAAGTGATTCTCCTGCCTCAGCCTCCCTGGCAGCTGGGATTACAGGCGCCTGCCACCTCACCCGGCTGGTTTTTTGTATTTTTTAGTAGAGACGGGGTTTCACCGTGTTAGCCAGGATGGTCTCGATCTCCTGACCTTGTGATCCGCCCGTCTCGGCCTCCCAAAGTGCTGGGATTACAGGCTTGAGCCACCGCGCCCGGCCCTCTTTCAGTTTTTCTCTCTTCTGTTTATTTAAATGCTTTCCCCTACTTTTCTCCTCTATAATTTCCCTAGTCCCTCTTTAATTGCCATAATGTAACATGATTTAAGATACAAGTTTAGTATTTTTGTTCTTCAAGGAAATCAAGTTATATTTCACTGATATGGTTCTTTACATATTTTTATTTCAAGAGTTTTACAGAAAAATAATTTATCTGGCTCTGAGGTAGGAAATCTAACTACATAAAATAATTCTATAAAATGAATTTAACTAAGCTATAAAGAGCAGGAAATTTTAAAATTAAGAACATCTATTCATCAAAAAACATTTTTTTTTCCTTTTTTTTTGAGACAGGGTCTCACACTCCGCTGTCCAGGCTGGAGTGCAGTGGTGTTTGGCCATGGCTCACTGCAGCCCCGACCCCCCCAGGCTCAGGTGATCCTCCCCCCATGTCAGCCTCCCCAGTAGCTGGGAATACAGACAAGTGCACACCACCATGCCCTGCTAATTCTTTTTTTTTTGAGACAGAGTTTCGCTCGTTGCCCAGGCTGGAGTGCAGTGGCGCAATCTTGGCTCACTGCAACCTCTGCCTTCTGGTTTCAAGCGATTCTCCTCCCTCAGGCTCCCTGGCAGCTGGGATTACAGGCGCCTGCCACCAAGCCCAGCTAATTTTTGTATCTTTAGTAGAGATGGGGTTTCACCATGTTGGCCAGGCTGGTCTCCAACTCCTGACCTTGTGATCCGCCCACCTCAGCCTCCCAAAGTGCTGGGAGTACAAGCATGAGCCTCCGTGCCTGGCTGCCCTGCAAATTCTTTATGTTGCTCAGGCTGTCCTTGAACTCCTGGGCTCAAGTGAGCCTCCTGCCTTGACCTCCCAAAGTGCTGGGATTACAGGCGTGAGCCACGGCACCAACCAAAAAGACATCTTTAATAAATTAAAAAGATGACCTACAAACTGGAAGTGCAGAACGTATTTACGACAAAGTATTAGTTATCAGGAATATATAAAGAAAGCCTACAAATCAGTAAGAAAAGACAAATGTGACATTACAATAGGAAACATACCTAAACAGATATCTCACAGAAGAGGAAACATGTGGCTAATAACCATATTAAGGGTCGTTCAATCTCTTTAGTTATAAAGGAAATTAAAATTAAGGCCACAATGTGACATAGTTCCATAACAACTAAAACAAAATGATACATCACCCAGTGGCGTGTTGCCGCTGGCTTATAGGAGCTGACTGTGTACATCTCCTTTTTCACAAAGTGATGTCATGTTGGTAGTTTGCAATCAATCAGCCACGATGGGAAAATTTGTACCATGGGAATTAAAAAATGGTACTAATCAGGGATTGTTTTTTTCAGAGTCAGCTTATTAGCACACCACTATGTAATATATGTTAAGATATATATACTTGGTGCAATAATATATATTTTTAAAGCAAAAGAATAAACACGAAGTTCAAGATAGTGGTTAGGAAAAGTCAGAGGGACACAATAGAAAAGAAGCACATGAGTTAGACTGAAGTTACTGATATTCTAATTCTCCAAGATTAGGTCATAAAGGCTCAACGTATTAAAAATAAACCAAAAAGGTGGCTATAAGCTAAGCAACTCATGAACTAAGGATTATGATTTATCCAGTTCTTTGCACCTGACAGCCATAAAAAATGCTTTTTCTAGATATGTTTTAGCAAAGTAAAAAATAACATACATACATTTTAATATACACACACATGTATTTTTTACATTGCATGCCCTTCTTTGTACAGATAAGACCTTATAGCAGTTGATCTTAACCAATTTTAGATCAGTCTCTACTGAGAATCCGACGGAAGGCATGGAAGCTCTCCTCCCACAAATGTATGCAGCAGCACACACACATATCAAATTCTGTAACCACTTTTGGGGGTCAGTGACACATGAAAGCCTATCTATGGCCCCCATGTTAAGAATGGTTGCCTGACAGGGTATAGTTTGTTAGAGAAGACTCAGTGTGGTCAAGACAAATGCAGTCAACAAGATCTGTTGGTGATATAATGGGAAAAACAATCGTTTTGGGGGATCAAGAGTATGGTGATAGTTCAAGGAGTAACAATTCAGATAATGATAGGTAAGGCATTTTTCTTATCTAGCCTTGATTTTCTCACTGTAAATGAGAGGCTGAAGTAGATAACTGCTAAGGTTTTCTCTAAGCTCTAAAATTAAGTCTATAAACAAGTCAGGGCCTGATTTCATTTGATTAATTAATTTATTTATTTTCTGTTCTCACGGGGCCTGATTTTAATAAATTTCCTTTTAAAAGACAAGTTCTCAAAAACTTCAGGCCTACCTTTCCTCTGTTTAGAAAACCAGACATCTGTCTCTGTCAAAAGCTGTTTTAAAGATCCATTCCAAGAAGGCACAAGTTGAAGGAACATCCACTGGGTTAAAAAAATTAAATAAGAAAACAATTATGAAATTTCATCATTTTATGATTTTACATTTTCAGATTGCTTTCACCTTAAAATATAATAGCTAAAAAATTTAACTTCTACTTTACCAGCAATTGCAAAAAAGAAAGTACAACTATTAGATGACATGCTTATAAGCACTCAATTTATCATGGCATTATCATAGTCCAATGGCTGGGTGCTGTGGCTCACACCTATAATCCCAGCACTTGGGAGGCCAAGGCGGGCAGATCACTTGAGAGAGGTTTAGACCAGCCTGGGAAACATGGTGAAACTCCACCTCTATGGAAAAAAAAAAAAAAAAAAAAGGGCATGGTGGCATGCATCTGGAGTCCCAGCTACTCAAGAGGCTGAGGTGGGAGGACCTTTTGAGCCCTGGAGGTCAAGGTTGCAGTGAGTCATGATTGCACCACTGTGTTCTAGTCTAAGTGACAGAGCGAGACCTTGTCTCGAGGAAAAAAGAAAAAAAAAATCACAGTCCAGTGATAAAAATTGGATGTGGGTGCTAAGGAGTAAGCCAATCCTTGAGAAGTCTTTATGGTAACTCACTGGAGATTACTGTATTAAAAAGGTAAAGGTCTAATATGTATATTACATTAGTAATTTTATACTAACTTATTCTACTGACTAACAACTCAATTTCACTAAATACTATATGAGATTATAAAAGCAAGAAATTAACACGGGAAAAAGAAGCTTCTTTGTCTTATTGCTGCTGAGATAATATGCACAGCAGGTAAGAGCAAAAACTTTTAAATCCTGGACCTGGCACTTAAGAGCTGGGCACATTACCTAATATCTCTGGGCCTTAATTTCTTCATTTGTAAAATGAGCATGATAATATGTTTACCTCATAGGACACTAAAATATTTAATATATATAAATACTTAGAATGGTGCATGGCATGTAAACACCCTGTAAGTATTAGCACTTATCATTACTGGCAAAAAGCAGTTATAACAACAGAAATGAATGCCACTGTGACAACTCACTGCAGGCTGCACCTCCTAGGTTCAGGTGATCCTCCCACCTCAGCCTCCTGAGTAGCTGGGACTACAGGCACAAACACCACACCCAGCTAAGCTTTCGTATTTTTTGTAGACAGGGGTTTTTGCCATGTTACCCAAGCTGATCTTGAACTCTGCGCCGTAAGCGATCCGCCAGCATGGGCCTCCCAAATTGCTGGGATTACAGGCGTGAGTCACTGTGCCTGACCTCTGCACCAATTTTTTAAAAGACTGGATAGCCCAGATAGTAAAGTTCCTTGAAGAAAATAGTAACAAAATTTCATCTCTACCATAGAAACAAACAAACAAAGAGTCTCTATGAGATAAGCTAGAAAGTGTCTCAGTCTGACGTTTCACAACTGTGTTAAATACTCACAACAGTTTTGGGGACAAAAGGGTAAAGGCAGGATTATGCAGTACGAAGAGGGCAATGGACTGGGACTCCCAAGATCCAGTCTCTGCCTCAAGCCTGCTCTGAGTCTCACTATCTACATGAAAGAATAGTGGCTGATCTGTATCTTCAAAGAGTTGTGAAAATAAAATTAGATTTTTAAAATGTTGAAACTTTTCAAAACGATGAAGTAAAACATATGCCAGACATGCAAACAAGCTTTTGAAAGAAAAATTTCAACATTGCTTAGAAAAAGTGTCTCTAAAAATACCATCATTAACTGAAGCTCAACTTTGAAAACGTTCCTAAAAATGATATAAAACATTTCTGATTATGTAAATAAATAACAACAATATATTTTTTGTTAAAGAGAACTCTGGGAAAAAACAGAAAAGTATTCCATAGAAAAGTACAAAAAATAAAGTTAAAATCACTAATGATACCAAATCCCTAAATATAAAGACTTTTTAATGTTTTGGCCTATTTCCTTTTCCTACATTTATAACCATCCCTTTATTGCTGGACACTGTTTCCAGTTTTTCACCATTATACACAGTGCTGAGGTGACATCCTTGCATAATATGACATCATATTATGTCAGTACCTTTTTTAGAGCGGTGTATATATCCATCTCCACTTGCATCACAAATAAGTTAGATGAACCAATGAGCTGTTTCATGACATTTATACTGAAAAGGATAAATAGAGGGAGTGAGCTTATCTTTAGGCACAGGCTAAAGGATCCTGGTGGAACTAAAAGCTTTGTCTTTCTTTTAAAAAATACGTGGAATTAAAAATGACAGCAGTCCTTCTGCCCAAGACAAAGAATCTTAGAAAACAATCTATCTGGATACAAGGATACTTTTAATTCAGATAGTGTGCTGTGAAAGGTCCTTTTCACACTGATAGGGAAACAAAGAGCTCTGATCTGCTGATTAATCAAGTTAAAGCAAGGTTCCATATGATAATTTTCAGTATGCGCTGATAAAATGACAGCCATCCTCTTTTGCCTTCCACCATCCCACTTCTATGTTTTGTTTTGTTCTTTAAAAAAATGCCAGGCATAGTGGCTCACATCTGTAATCCCAGCACTTTGGGAGGCAGGAGAATCATTTGAAGCCAGACGTTTGAGACCAGCCTGGACAACATGGTGAGACCTTGTGTACCAAAAAAAAAAAAAAAAAGTAGTCCCAGCTACTTGTGAGGCTGAAGGGGTAGAAGGATCACTTGAGCCCAAGAGGTGGAGGTTGCAGTGAGCCGAGACTGTACCACTGCACTCCAGCCTGGGCAACAGAGCAAGATACTGTCTCCAAAAAAAAAAAAAAAAAAAAAGACACTAGAACAGCTATATCGTCAAAGTAATCTTTAACCTCTAGGCTTAAGAGAATTGCTTAGTCATAAACTATGGTTTTAGTACTATTCAAGAGCATAAGATCAAGAAACATGTGCTATTTAGAGTGAAAATGACATCATCAGTTATTTTGTTTTGTTTTGCTTTTCCTTTGTTCTTTCTTTGAGCCACAAAAAGCCAAGAGAGCATGTGGGTTTTTAAGAGGATCCTGCTCCTTTTTCAAAAAGCTCAATGAGAAATTAGAGTTGTCCCCTTGTATCTGTGGGGGGTTGGTTTCAGAACCCCCTACAAATACCAAAATCCTCTATGCTCAAGGCCCTTATATAAAATGGCACAGTATTTGCATGTAACCTATGCACATCCTCTCATATACTTTAAATCATTTCTAGGTGTTCTTATAGTACTTACTACAATGTAAATGTTATACAATAGTTGTCATACAATATTGGGTTTTTTGTTATCATTTTTTAAAGATTTTCCCCCAAATCTTTTCAATCAGCAGTTGGTTGAATCCACAAATGGAGAACCCATGGATATGGAGGGTTGACTGTATTAAAGTGTTTCTAATGATTTTCAAATCAAACATTCTACAGTGATTTATTTATGCCTCGATATCACCAGGTGATGAATGTCTCTCACACTTCTCTACCAAATTACCTCGTAAAGGCAAAAGAAAGGAAAAAACCCAATGATCTAGGTGGTGGTCTAACCATAAAAATAACATTTCTATAAATGGTATCTTGAGAGTTCAAGGAAATTTGAATTCCCTCTATTCTATAATGTATTTAAACATAAAAATGTTTACCTCTCCCCCACCTCAACAACAACAACAACAACAAAAAATCAGTAAAATTCACATCCCGGGAAGCTATGCAATGTTTGACTTTAGTTTTGTACATTTCCATCAGAAAGTCACTTACTCCTGGGCACATTTGTATCCCTGTCTACAAAGCACCGCTGTCAAGTAAATGCAAGCCAGAAAATGACTGTAATGCCAACCAGTCTTCAAAACTTCACTGCTAGCCAGATTTTCTCAGACCCATCACAAATACCTTAGTCCCATTACTATAAATAAGTTCCCTGACAGCAAGAGACCATGACAAAATCATCTCTGCATCCTTCACAGCCACAAACAGAACATCTTTACATAATGAACAGTTAGGAAGTACTTGCTGCAGGAATAAATGGATAATATGCGTACTTAATCCAAAAAGCCAAACTAACCTGGGTGCAGTGGTATGTGCCTATAATCCCTGCTACTTGGAGGCTGAGGTGGGAGGACTGCTTGAGCCCAGGAGTTTGAGTCTAGCCTGGGCAATATAGCAAGGCCCCCATCTCTTTAAAAAAGAAAGACTGCTATATAGCTTGGGTGGTGGGCAGTCCTCATTGTCACCGCCATATATCTTGTAGGTTTTTAGAACCCTGGAATCCATTTCTCACGGGTGACTGCGGTCCTATTATTCCAGCTTGGACTACATGGTCCACAGGTGACAGAGAAATCTTGGCCCTCTGGCTCCATCTCCAGGACCTCTGGCTCTGCGGGTCCCGCTTGAAGATGAAGGCAGCGCAGTTGACTGTGGGAGCCTCTGCAGCCCCAGCCTGAAGCCTGCATGGGACCCTGTGTGGTGCTAAGTTTTTTTTAAAGGAAGACTGATATTTTCTCAAAGAGAGGGGACGTCACTATGTTGCCCAGGATGATCTCGAACTCCTAGATTCAAGCAATCCTCCCAACTTGGCCTCCCAAAGAGCTGGGATTACAGATCTAGGTTTTCCTAAATCTGCTTTTCTGGTAGAGAAACCCTGAGGACTGATTGGCTTTTGCTTGTCTAAAACCATGGCCTGCGAATTCGTAACATTCAGGGACATGGCCATAGACTTCTGTCATCAGGAGTGGGAATACCTTGACCTGGTTCAGAAGACCTTGTACCAGGAGGTGACAGTGAAGAACTATGGTAACTTGGTCTCACTGGGGTCTCACTCACACTGAGGCTGGAGTGCAGTGTCGCAATCACAGCTCACTGTAACCTTGACCTCCATGGCTCAAGCAATCCTCCTGCCTCAGCCTCCAGAGTAGCTGGGATTACAGATTTGAATTCAAGGAGTGAAATAATCAGAGACGGAAAAATGTACATTTATAGGAGCCACACATTTGTTACGCCACATCAGAGAATTCATTCTAGTGGGAAAACCGATCAACATGAAAAGTTTTTGAAGGTTTAAAAAAAAAAAAAGGCCAAAACAGTTTCTTCAAACTTATTTCTCAATAATAAAGATGATTTTAAAAATATACCTTTTAAATTCTCTAAAAGTCTGGCAAAACCTGAAACTTTTCTATAGTCTTATAACAGTAATGCATTTTTCTATTAAAATTGGTTAAAACGGTAGACATAATATCCATTATATTATTCACAACAAAGAAATAAGTTTGTGTAGCATTTCTTCAGCTTATGGATGTAGTCAAGCCCTTTCATTAAATTGTTTGCTTTTTCATATTTTTGTGTTCTACAAAAATGTTACGTACTTTAACAAATGATAAACAATATTTTAGGATGACTAATTATAAAGTTACTTGAAATTCAAATACCTGAGTTCTTTAAAAAGTTCAGCATTCTGGTGAGTCATCAAATTGTTTAGAAGCCATTCAAGGCACCTGAAATTAAAACATATAATTATTACATTACATACCATGTATTTACAATTTATTAAGTAGGACTTATAGTTAAAATCAGAATATTAATCTTGCCAGAACATGCTCAAAACTTTTAACTTAACAATAGGAAATTTAGTATTATTTTTGTCAGTGGATATTATTAAGAGAATATTTCCTTTATATTAATGAGAGCATTTCTAGTTTTAAAACTTCATTTTGAGTTTGTGTTAAATAGTTTATCAAGGGGTCTGCATACTACTATAACCTTTAAAATCTCAAAACAGGTACTGCAACTTTCAAGAGTTAGAAGGACTGTCAGTCATTGCAATGATATAATGTCTATCAGGCCTACTTCTTAAACAATTTTAATAGAAAATGTACTATAAAGTGCAGTGGCATGATCACAGCTCACTGCAGTCTTGAACCTCCTGGGCTCAAAGAATCCTCTGACCTCAGCCTCCAGAATGGCTGGGACCACAGGTGCATGCCACCATGCCTGGCTAATTTTTTAAATTTTTTGTAGAGATGGGGTCTCCCTATGTTGCTCAGGCTGGTCATGATCTCCTGGGCTTAAGTGATCCTTCTGCCTTGGCCTCCCAAATCACTGGGATTACAGGTGTTAGCTACCACACTTGACCAAGAGTGACCAAGGTTTTTATAAGCATATATATAACCCATATGGTCACTGACAAAGACAACACTTTTGAGGAATTTACTAATTAGTCCAAAAGTTAAAATGGGCTTTTTATTTAACAAAACTCCATTCCCCATCCTAATTTTCCTTAATTCTTTCTTTCTTATAGCTATACATTCTCTTAAGAAACTAAAGCAACCAAATTCCTAAAGTGGGATAGGAAGAAAAATGAGAAAGGTAACTCACTTTTTCTTTACAGAATCTAATCCATAGGTCCCTGCTGATGTGTAATAGCCACATACAGTTTTCACATTAATTGTTTCCTTCATTGTCTCACCACACTGCTGTATTAAACCGTCCTGTAAATATAAATAAGCACTGGAAAGGCCCATTTCACGTGGGAAAAATTAGCTCTGATATGTGCTTTTACATATTAAAAAGGAAAAAAAAAAGAAGGAAGAAAGAAAAGAAAGAAAACTCATTAAGTGCAGCAAATCTAAGTTTTGTGGTTTTTTTTTAACAAGTCCAATAAAAATACTGAAAAAAATTCAGCAAGTATTCAACTAAATACTTGGAATTTGAAAATGGAAGGTGGGGGGAGCAGTCAGGTAGAGATGAATACTGCTATTCTTTTTCTTTTCTATTCTTCCCTCTCTGAGACCTTTGCAAATTTCTTTAGCAGCATTTTGTCTGTTTTGCCATTTCTTTTTAAATTAAGAAGACTACATAGTCAGTTAACCATGTCATGGGCCTAAACAAATAGTATGCATTAGCAGAAAGTAATTATTAAGTTTAAAATAACTACAATATCTAAGAGACACACCTACAACAAGTATATTGTTATGTTAAATTATGAACATTAAAGTTTTAACCTAAAATGTTTATATAGGTTTTAAGTGAACTAACTTTAATATATGGAAAGAATACTACTTTTCGTTCAAATTTCTGAAATATATTCATCATGCAGGTATATTAAGTTAAAGAGTTAGTAAATCATAAAAGTAACGCAGAAAGTGAATTCAGAACAAAATCAAAAGGACCAGAGTTAGAAAATAAAGTATACTTATTGGAAATAAGTATTGAAAGGATCAAAACATTTTGAAAATCAAATGATCTCAACCAAGGATATTTAGCAAGCTATTAACTAATATTTCAAATGAATCAGTACAAAAATACCACACAAAAGTAAACAATTTTTTAAGATTAAAATAAAACATTGACTCCATTAGGATTTTCAACTTACCTGGAAATCATTCTAGACTCCTCCCCTTTCCTCTTAACACTTAGTCTGTCACCAAGTCCAGTGGATTATCCCTGAATCTCTCTGCTATCCACTTTTTCCTCTCCAAGCTTATTGCTACTACCCTACTTTCCTCCCTTGGACGACTGCAATAGGTTTTTGTCTCTAATGCTGTATTCGTCATTCCTTCAATTCATCTTTCACATTGTTACTGAAGTGTTCCTTCTAAAACATAACTTCGTCTTTCCCCTGATTAAAATATTCCAAAGGTGCTGTGTACGCTAAACTCAGCAATGTGTAACGGTATTTTCACGATCTGGCTTCTGCCCCTCTCTTCTCCAATCCTTCTTATGTTTATGCAGGAGCCATGTTTCTGTTAGAGTCTTGAATCCTCCACGATTTCACATCGCTAGGTCTTAGTTTACTCTGTTCTGTCTGAAATGCTCTTCCTTCTCCTCTTCCTACTTTGCAATACAAACACACTTTCAACTTTCAAGACTCAATGTGGAAATGTAACTTTCCTCTGTGATACCACCAGGGTGAACTGACCACTTCCTTCTTTATGCATTCACTAAATGCTACAGGATATTTATTATCATATCTATAATATTGAACAGCTCTTACTTTACCTCTGGGTTTGTATATCAACCCTCCCACCGCTCTCCACACATACATACTATATTGTGAACTTTTTGAAAGTAAGGATTACATCTTAAGTTACCTTTGGATTTCTGTGTCTAGTTTGACACAGTGCTCAATACACTTCGGTTAAATGAACAAATCTGTCATTCTGCCGGTAGATTAAAATACATATATGTGATTTATACACAATTCTTTCAAAACTAAGAGAAATTTAAATAGTAGGAATGCATGTTTATTTGAACCCATGAATGATATTAATTAGTAATCATAAGCCATCTGCTTAAGAGTCAAGTCATTAATGAATAGAAATCTGTAAATGACCTTAGACAAGTAAGTTTTTTCCACATTATAGTCACACTAAGATATCTACACAGAAATGGCCTGCATTCATTTTATGCAGACATTAAGACTCCCTCAGTTATAATAAATTGCTTTTGGTTAGGCATTTTAAATGATTTCTAACAAATGGCATATTTATACGTTTCATTTTTATTTAAAAACTCTAAAAAGCTAAGCTTTATTTTTGTTTTTGGAGTACACACTTTGAGACAAAGATTATTATTCTGAACCTTTCTTTGAATCATGTGCATACTTACCAACTGCAGCAAACAAGCTGCTGCCAAAATGGCAACAACTCGACTGGGCTTTATCAAGACATCATCTCGATACAGTGAACCAAATGCAACCTGCAGTGCTGAAAGCAAGGTACACATGTAGGATGAAATAATATTTATATCTATTACAAGTATTATACAAATAACAACGACGACTGTCTTCACACACAAAGACATTTGTCTAAATGTGGTATGTACACAAAAGGATAACAGAAGTATCTCTTTAATTAAAAACGCTAGTAATCGTTACTGGTTGACACTGTTAATTTAATAACAAGGTTATAAATTTCTGTTTATTCTACCAAATCTAGCTGCATTCTTCTAACATGTAATCTTGACATCAGTGGTCACAACCAAGATGCCTTGGAAGAAGTTTTATAAGATACTCCTGAGTAGACCAATCGTTAAGTACAAATACGCAGACTCAAAGATAATCTTAACCCTGCTGCTTTCAGCACTTCACCACTGAGAAATGTGGTACAGTTCCTGAGTTCTGTCCATGCCACACTTATGCCCAGCCCCCACAGTGATCTATGCCTGTCCATCCTTCCTCCACCGCCACTGTTACGAATGTCCCACATGGTTTGCTTTGTAAATATTCTTAACTATTTCTTTGCCTTTGTATTGAGCACCAGGTACTTCCATGTGGACCACCAATGAGGGGAGCAGCAAGAGCACTGGAATGGGAATGAGGAGAGCTGTCGTCTGACATAGGCTCACTAAACTGCTCTGAGATCCAAAGTAAGTCCCTTAACTCCTTTGGGCCTCAGCTTCCTCAACTAAGGATTCTTTTAGCTCTAAAACAATATTACATGATTTATGCCTTTATTGTTCCCAGAAAGTAGGGAATAATCAATAAGTATTATTTATCAGATTTTCTACATAATTAAAAAAATGGTCATACTTTTCCTTCCTTCATCCTACGTCTTCCATATCCCAGGTGGGCATATTTACAAAGATAAGTAAACAGACTGATAAGGCCCACATGACAAAACAGATTAGTGACAGGATGGACAGAACTGATAAACTATGGCGTAAATCAACATAAAATTATCACCTTGAGGTGATAAAAGGAGTTTGCTAGACTACAAGGCTAGAAGGAATTACTTAGTTTCTACCAAAAGAATAAGATTATGTTTTTATGATTGTTGCATAATAGTTAATTATTATGGTAGTTACCTTCTACATCAATGTTCTGGTCAGGAATCTCCAGTTCAATAATATTCATGCTGGATTCTTTCCAAGAACCACTGAACATACTAGAAAAGTAGCCAGACTTTAAAAAAAAAAAAAAAAGTCGACGATTATCAAGTACTTTCTGTGTCTTCCAAATTATTTTCCCATTTCTAATTCTAAGCAACTATTCTATCCATTAACTAATCTCATCCATTCTATTACTTCAACAGAAAAAGAACTGCCAAATATGTCTACAGGAGAAAAGAAATTAAGATACGGACACTACTAGGTGTATCAAAATATACTTTCAGTTTAGTACTATTTTTGACAAAAAACTAAAATTCCTATATTACTATCTAAATTGAATTCCTGTATTTCTATTTGAATCTGGTTAGCTTTTTATTCAAACTGTTGAATCCTTACTGTACACCTGAGTGGCTATAAAGGACCAAACCAGTCCCAAGTCAGCACAAACAGAATGATTCCCAAAGAAATTAGGGAAAATCCAAAATTTAGTTTAATCTAATGAGAAATTTCCAGAATGGACCTGAATTCTTGGAAAGGTATAGAATGAAGTCTTTAGTTATCTGCCAGATAGCACTCCTCATAATTAGAATTACTTTGAAATTGATCAAATATTAACTAATTTATTTAAAAATGTTACTGAGTACTTAGTATGTAGAAGGCACTGTGAATATAGCAATAAACAAAATCAATATTGTTTCTGTCTTCAGGGGGCTTATATTTTAGCATGTGGCTTGAACTATAATCAATACAGCTTCCATGAGAGGTAAAGTTTTAACAGAGGTATTCTCAACCTTAAGTTCACAAAACTGCTTCCAGATATTAAAAAGAAACAATATGAATCATATCCTGAAGTTAAAAGCAATATTCTGATATAGTGTCTGGGCAACATACTTCAAGCCAAAATAAATTTGTTTCAAAAACACATTTTTTTTTTTTTTTTTTTGAGATGGAGTCTCGCTCTGTCACCAAGGTTGGAGTGCAGTGGCGCAATCTCGGCTCACTGCAAGCTCTGCCTCCCAGGTTCACGCCATTCTCCTGCCTCAGCCTCCCGAGTAGCTGGGACTACAGGCGCCCGGGATTTCACCGTGTTAGCCAGGATGGTCTCGATCTCCTGACCTTGTGATCCGCCCACCTCGGCCTCCCAAAGTGCTGGGATTACAGGCGTGAGCCACCGCGCCCGGTCTCAAAAACACATTTTAAAACATGATTAAAATGTTAGAGAAGGCAATTCCTTTCCAAATACTTTTACTGAAAAAGTTTATACTATACTGTCTTACCAGTAATTATTCTCAAATGGTAAAGAGGAAAAATATAAGTTCCAAACGATAAAAACTGTTGTTTTATTCCTAGTGCCTAGACCAATATCTGGAATAAAATATTTGGGCCCTTAGAGCAACACTGTATTCTATTTTGAAAACTCTGATTTTTTTTTTTTTTTTTTTTTAAGACAGAGTCTCGCTCTGTTACCCAGGCTGGAGTGCAGTGGCACGATCTCAGCTCACTGCAACCTCCATCTCCCAGGCTGAAGCAATTCTCCTGTCTCAGCCTCCTGAGTAGCTGGGATTACAGGTGCCCATCACCACGCCGGCTATGAAAGTTCTGAATTTTTAAAGTGAGGTGGCAAGTAGTAATATTTTCAGTACACAAATCGACTTAGTCTATACTTTTTGGTGTTGTCTTTACCTGGATTTTCCAGGAGAGAACTTTCCACTCACACTCAATGTGAACTACAAAGCAACATTTCAGGTGAGTTTATCCAATTTAAATAACCATAAGCAAAATAAACACATTACAATCTTAACTTTAATGTTAAATATTTTTCCCCAACTTTTCCCCTTTTATCAACAGAAGGCACCAAAAAAAGCACTTTATGAAGTAATGACAAATACGTAGTATTAGGCTCGTATGATACTGAAATCTCAAAATCTCTTTCTAGACCAAACTTAGTTTTCACTAACAATGCTTACCATTTTTCTTACAGACTTTTTACCAAATGAGAGGATTTAACCACTATGGTGTTCATGCAAAAGATTACTGTGAAGTGCGATGAGAAAGCACATGATTTAAGAGTTTAAGTGATTACTCTGTTACTCAAATAGAAAAAATACTTACTTGACATAAATATATTTTGTGTAAGCTCCATTCTTCTCCTAGAGCACAAATCTTAATGTCACTGTTTTCACCATTCAAAAATAATGTTTGATAAATATATTTAGATGTACTCTTTAATTTTTTCCTGTTAAAAGAAATGAAAAAGTCACATATTTATATAAATTGAATGTTTTACTGATTTTGCATATATTTCTAAATACTCCTTTTATTCAATTTCTATTAAATAGAGTCAACTTACCTATTGTGTAAAAGGATAGGGGGAGAGTATATATTCAAATTTTCTTGTGTCTAGAAGAGTACATAAGAAATTAACAATAGTGGTTATCTCTGGGGTCCTCTATGCATGAGAGAGATAGTGGAGAAATGGGGGCGGCATGGGAGGCAGACTTTTCACTACACACATTTTAGCAATTTTGGACTAATTTAATTACCTATTCAATAGATTAAGAAGTTAGCATATTGATTTTTTTGCTTATTTCCTTATTTAAAAACCAGCACTATGAAGGAACTCAAATAGTGCAATAATCTGCAACTAGGAAATGGAGAACAAGAGTAAACATTTCACTTACCCAAGTAATTTTAAAATGATTTACATTTAATCTTACTTTAGT